CGGTAGCCCATGGCAACCCACTGCCACAGGGGCTGCAGCTTAGCCGTCGCCGGTGACTCATGGCAGCCCAGCTCCAGGTTGAGCTGTTGATCAGCATCTTAGCTGTGGAGGGCAGTGTCACTGGCCCTCATATGTGGGATCCGAACCGGGGCCTCTGGCATCCCAAGCGAGTTCTTAACCATCGCGCCACTCGGCCAGCCCCATGTGCTTATTTTTTATATGTGCAAATAATTGGTTTGCACACAGACTTGGTGCTTAATATTTGATAAATAAATGAAACCAGAATATCATAAGCCAGAATTGTCAATATTTTTTTAAAAATCTACAAATGTGCATACTAAATCTGGAAATGTAAATGGCTTTATTTTTTGCCTCTCTAGGAATATATTGCCCTTATCTGTAGGATGCCAACAAATATAAATGAAAAATACAATAGTTTGTGAAAGAATTGCATAAAATACCACCAACATCTCTTTATACATCCAAGGACAAAACAATCAGATTTGTTTCCTGTCCCCACTGGGCTGAGCACTGCAGCCTGATAGTCCACCCACCCCGCTTTTAGAGTGAGCTCTATACTTTTTAGAACATTATTATTTGAAGGTGATCTGTAACTTACCTAAAGAGTCTTGACTGTGGTAAAATGTTACAACCCAGAAAAGGACAAATACGCTTAAGCTCTGAGATGGTGGTAGACAGGACAGCTGCTCCAAAATAGGCTAATACTGAACTGCAATGCTGTACGATTTGTTGTGGAGGATGTATCAAGCTGGTGACAATTGCGAAGAACTGGTATTTGTGAGCATTTCATGAAGTGCGAGGACAGTGTGCTCTGAACAGGCAGTGAGGCACAGTAATTAAGAGTGTGGACCAGGAAGATAGAACTCCTGGAGGTGAAACCTAAGCCTTCCAACTCCCTGGTTCTGTGAACTTGGGCAAGTTGTTAACATTCCTTTCCCCGTGTACCTCATCTCTGAAATGGAGATAATAATGTCACTGATCACATAGGGCTGTTGAGAGAATCCAATGAGTTAATATATATAAAATGCTTAGATCAATGCCTGGAATTTGTTTATTACTAATATATTAATATATGTAATCATATATAATTGACAATATATAGAAAATTTATAATATACATATATGTATAACATATAAATGTATAATACATATATAATAGATATCATATTAATACTGCATATTAATATATGTAATATCTATCTATATAAATATATAAAATAACACTATATGTGTTAGCACTTATTATCATTTTTATTATTTCCTCCATTTTTAGGACTGTTCTTTGGTCCTTTTTATTTCCCATACTATCCTATATCCAGTTTCAGCTCTGCTCAATTTATCTTTCTCCATTATTTTTATTCCCAGAATTTTAATTGTAAAGTTAGACATTAATCAAATCTTAATTGCTACCATATTTTTAATTCTAGTTTAAATCACTCATTCATTTTCTTTCATTGCTTTATTGAAACACCCAGATAAAAATGTATCATTTTATTTCCTTTTTCATTAGCAGGACATTTAGATTTCAATACTAAATTTACAGCATAGATAATATTGTTATAGGCTGAAATGCAGAATAATGAAGGGTTAGGTATCATAGAATTGACTGAAGTTTAGTATTTACATTAAAATAATACCAAACTGAAATTAAATGTATCTCCATTTTATACATGAACGATCCCAGCATCTATCTGTTCTTCTATAATCAACACATGTCCTAGGCTAGTTTTCAGACCCTGAAGCTTTTTGAACACTACTGGAATTAAAAAATCTGTTCTAGTTACAAAAGACTTCTAAGGATCATTATGTTGGCTGACTGCAGTAGAATAAGGGCCCTTGCTGTTGCTTGTATATTTATCAGCCTTGTCTAATCTTATGGAAGAGAAAGGACGGGGAGATATCATGACAGTGGATTTTGTTTAGTGTCATCAACTGAAGTGATTTATACAATTCCCAGGAATCAAATAGTAGAAAAATTCCTCCTCATTCAGGATCTAGAGTATCCTTCGAGTATTCAACTGGTATATGTGGTGGAGTAAATAATTTGCCCCGAGTCTCCACCCTCTCCTGTTCTGTGCCCTCTGCCATGTAATTTCACAAGTTCTCCTGCTGAAGGTGGAGGGTTCTTCCCTGTCCCTTTTCTCTGGGCGTGACAATTTGATGTACTTTGGCCAGTGCATGTGGGCAGAAATTACAGTGTGACGTTACTCAGCCTTGCCCTTTTTCTTCTGCCAATCTGCCGTTGTCACAGAGCAGCTTCCCCCCAAGTAGCTGCTTTCCTCTCTCAACCTGGGCTCCAGAATACACACATGTGAAAGAGACCAAAGCCCAATTTAGAAGGACCTAGCTCACTGGGATCTGCAACCTGAACAGAGCTTTCCAGCAGAGCCCAGTTTAGATGAGCTGATCCCCAAGTGACCCACAAACATCTGAGAAATAAATTCTTGCTGTTGTACGTCACTGAGATTTTGTGGTTGTTACATATCAATCACTAAATATGTACACTGAGTTTCAGCATTATAAAAAAGGCTTTATCTTTTCTAGAAAGCTAGAAATTACTCCAAAAATAACTGTGACAGATAATGATATAATTTTACATACATTTAAAAGAATACCAATGGCATTTAGGAATGGTAATTAACTTATGAAACAATATCACACGTAATTAATGAAGCAAATTTGTATTTGCTGTGCCCTAAATTGTACTACAGGAAAATACATAATGTGTGCACATTAAGCTAGTTGCTTATGATTTTAATCATTGAAATAAGGTCAATGAAACTATGTAACTGGAAAATTCAACCAGTACTTTTAATAAGTATAAATATACTTTTAGTAAGTATAAAGTATATTTATGGACATATGTTAGAATTTGCGAAATATTCCTTAAATGACTACACATGACATAACTATATTTTAACAATAACAAAGATATTATATATAATCAACAGAATCAAAACACTTTTTGAAAAAAACAAACACAGAACATTTAAACAACTAATTAATATTTTCAAAAGGATTTGACAAATATGTTGGTTATATGAAATTAAAGGCAATTACCTTTACAAACATTATAAACTTTTCTCCTTCTACACGAGTCCCTTCTAGGATGATAGACAATGATAAGTGAAATTGTGTAAGAAAAAAAAGTTTTAAAAATCGAATTTTAACCACTTATTTTAAATACTGCATGGATTGAACAATAAAACTTTCAAGATCTCACCTGTTACCTTTTAGTGATTATTATATGGAAATATTTTAAAATGTAAAAATCTTTTATGATAAAGACAAATAATGGTCCATTTTAGGGAATAACAGAGCCAGACCATATTGAGTAACACCTTGTAAGATACAGCTACATGGGAATGAGGACAATGTAGGCTGATTATAGTATTTCTATACTATAATTACTCATAGTCTTTTATACACAATTTAAGATTATTGAGCTTAGTTAATGATTATATTTGGAGATCCATTTAAAATACTCATTTTAAAATATTCTTGAAAATCTTTTAATAACCAGATCCTTGTATATTCAACTTGAGTATGCTTCTGATATTTGGTAAATTGTTAAGGTAGTGAGTTATTTTCAACAGTGTCTGTCTCTATGGAGTTCAAGAGAATGCCCAGTCTCCATAAATAAAAAGTAAATAAAGGAAATGCATCTGAGAGTAGGAAAATAGCTTCATCATGCTTCTGAAGAAATTTCTTGATTTCTAGGTCTTCGTGCCCTATGCTTGCAGTGTTGCCTTCTGCTTTTTCCTTTTGAAGAAGCTGCTCCAGAACCCAGAAGAAGGAGAAAATATTTTCATAGCGTGTCACATCATAACTGGCTTGCACCTACAAATAAACAACAAAATCATTTTTTTAAAAAATATTGATTGTAGCTCAGCTCAGAAAAAGCCAAATAAAGAGACTACATTTTCAGACAAAAAGTAAATACGTTTGACCCCTAAGCATTGTGGGGGTTGGGGCAGCAACCCTTCCCCCCATCTATGGACTTGAAAATTGGCATATAACTTTTGACTCCCCAAAAACTTAAGTTGTCCCTCTGTATCCACGGGGATTGCTTCCAGGACCCTGAGTGGATACACAAACCCATGGATGCCCAAGTCCTCTATATACAAAGACATAGATCAATGCACAGAGTCAGCCCTCTGCATCCTGACTCCCAACCACAGATCGAAAACAGTACAGGTATTTATTGGGGGGGAAAAATTCACGTGTAAGTGGACCTACACAGTTCAAACCCATGTTATTCAAGGGTCAAGTGTATTTGGCTTATTTAATGCCTAATGGTCCTGTTCCTTTGATTGGGATGAGGGTACAGAGAAGAAAGAACATTTCTGTTTTTCAAAAACTTTACAGTCTTGGATTGCTCTTTCTCTTGCTGGTTTCCAATGCTCCAAATCCTTTCTCTGCATTATTGCTATATTCATTTCTCAGATGATTCTGAGAATGCTTGGCAGACAGTCTTACACATACCAAGTCTTGTGTGTGAATTTCAACATTTCATCAAAGACTTCCAATGCACGATACTCCTACCAACGATACTCTAAGGCTCTTTAGGGGGCAGATTTTAAGAACATGTTTCAGTAGTCTCGGAGCAGATGGAGTTATGATCTGTTAGTGACCAGATGTGACTGCACCCTCAGTGTACACAAGTCAGGGAGTAACAGGATTAGGTTGTGTGGACTCAGATACAATGTGATGAGGAAAAATGTGGATGTATCTTGAAGAAGTTGTTTGGCCTATATGGCTGAAAGTGAGATGATTCAAAAGATGGTCAGTAGAAAGCATAACATGAGAGAATACAGGAATCAGGGTAAAGATATAAACCGGCTTTATCATTTGTTTATTAAGAAATGTGTTGAAAAATTCACCAAATCTATCTGCTGTAAAAATACATAAATGAAGAGCCCAGAGGAATGTATTTTTCAATAAGGTGGTCTGACAGAGTCAAATATAGAGGGTGCCAAAAAAATGTATATACATTTTAAGAAAGGAAAAAGCTGTATTAAAATTGTAATACTTAATATATACCAGTAACAAAAGATGAATACAAGTCACGTTTGACTTCTGCAATTACAAGAAGTGCTCAAAGTGGTTACCATCAGCGTCCAGACACTTCTGATTATGACGAACTGCTGCTTGAGCAACATTGACCAAAGTGTCCACTTGTAGACATTTTTTTGGCACCCCTGATATATCTAGATAACTAATACTTTTTTTTTATTGAGGTGTAATTGATATAGCATTGTATTAGTTTCAGGTATACAACATAATCATTTGATATTTGTATGTATTGCAAAATGATCACCACAAGGCCTGTTAACACCCATCACCATACATAGTTACAACATTTATTTTTCTTGTGATAACTTTCAAGACCCACTCTCCTAGCTACTTTAAAATATGCAATAGTATTATTAATTATAGTCGTCATGCTGTACATTAAATCTCTATGACTTATTCACTTTATAACTGGAAAGTTGTGACTTTTGACTCCCTTTACCAATTTTGTCCAACCCCACCCTTCCCACCTCAGGCAACCACCAGTCTGTTCACAATATCTATGAGCTCATTTTTGTTTTGCTTTTTTTAAAAAAAAAATTCCACACATAAGTGAAATCATACATTTCTCTTTCTTTTTTACTTATTTCCCTTAGCATAGTGCCCTCAAAGTCCATGCATGTTGTTACAAATGGCAAGATTTTGTTTTTATGGCTGAATAAATTCCATTGCTTATATATATACCACATTTTCTTTATCCCTTCATTCACTGATGTGCATTTAGGTTGTTTCCATGTCTTGGCTGTTGTAAATAATGCTGTAATAAACGTGGGGGTGCATACATCTTTTCGAATTGATGTTTTTGTTTTCTTCAGTTAAATAATCAGAAATGGAATTGCTGGATCATATAGTAGGTCTACTTTTAATTTTTTGAGGAACCACAACAATACTGTTTTCCATAGTGGCTGCAGCAGTTTACATTTCCTCCAGCAGTGCACAAGCGTTCCCTTTTCTCCACATGCTTGCCAACATTTATTTCTTCTCTTCTTGAAAAGAACCATTTTTACAGGTGTGAAATGATATCTCACTGTGGTTTTGATCTGCATTTTTCTGATGGTTATCGATGTTGAGTATATTTTCAAGTACAGGTTGGCAATGTGTATGTCTTTTTTTGAAAAATGCCTATTCAGATCATCTGCCCATTTTTTAGAATCAGATTATTATTATTATTATCTGTATTGAGTTATATGTGTTCTTTATATGTTTTGAATATTGATCTCTTACCAGGTAATGATTTGCAAATATTTTCTCCTATGCAGTAGGTTGCCTTTTCATTGTGTTGATGTTCTCCTTTGCTGTGAAGAAGCTTTTTAGTTAGGTATAGTCCCACTTGTTAATTTGTGCTTTTGTTGCTTTTGCTTTTGGTGTCAAATCCAAAAAATAATTGCTAAGACCAATGTCAAGGACCTTACTGCCTGTGTTATCTTTTAGGAGTTTCATGGTGTTAGGTTGTACATTCAAGTCTTTAATCCATTTTGAGTTAGTTTGTGTGTATAGTTTAAGAAGGTGGTCCAGTTTCATTCTTTTGCATGTCCCTCTTCAGTTTTCCCAGCACCATTTATTGAAGAGACTGTCCTTTCCCCATTGTGTATTTTTGGATCCTTTGTCATAAATTAATTGACCATATATGAATGGGTTCATTTCTGAATTCTACTTGGTTCCACTGATCCACGTGTCTGTTTTTATGCCAATAACATTTTGATTACTATAGCTTTGTAATGTAGTTTGAAATCAGAGAGCATGATGCCTCCAGCCTTGTTCTCAAGATGGCTTTGGCTATTTAGGTCTTCTGTGGTTCCATACCAATTTTAAGATTGCTTGTTCTATTTGATACTTTCTTTAAAAACAGTTATAAGAATTTCTCCAGCTGCACTATACTTATTGCTACAAATTGGACTGTACATTATTAGGTGAATAGATCTCATATTAGGTGAATAGATCTATATGCCAATTCTCTTGGTCTAGAATGACCTCCATCATCCACCGCTGATTACCGGTACCCTGGGCAGCATTCAGTACCCATTACAGACGCCATGTAGCCACTGAGCCTTTCTGGATCCTCCCGTTTTTATAGATTTGAATTATTTACCTATGTTATGGCTGGTTATATATTTGTTTTATCACCTTAGACTCTAAACATGTTGTGAGAAACAAATGTGTTCCTGTACTTAGTTTCTATAATTCCTAGAACAATGCCTTTCTTGTCTATAGTAGATCTTCGTATACATTTGTTGTTTTGAAATGAATAAGAATTGTAGTCATTTAAAAGGTACTATTATGGAAACATACGTAGACGCCCTTATCCACAGATTTATTTTCCATGGTTTCAGTTACCCGGGGTCACGCACGGTCCCAAACTATTAAATGTAAAATCTACAAATAAACAATTCAAAACTTTTAAATTGCATGCTTCAGTAGTGTGATGAAATCCCGCACGTCCCGCTGCATCCTGCCTGGGACATGAATCTCCATGCTGTACACGCTACCTGCCCATTAGTCCTTAGTAGCATTCTTGGTTATCAGATTGACTGTCACAGTCAATTACCCTTATTTTACTTAATAAAGGCCCCAAAGTACAAGAGTAGCGATGCTGGCAATTCATATTTGCCAAAGAGAAGCTATAACGAGCTTCCTTTAAGTGAAAAGGTGGAAGTTCTCAATTTAATATAGAAAGAAAAAAATCATATGCTGAAGTTGATAAGATCTATGGTAAAAACAAATATTCAATCCATGAAATTGCCTAATCTATAAGTTAAACTTTATCATACATGTGTATATAGGAAAAACATAATATATATATATAGGGTTCAGGACTGTCCACAGTTTCACGCATCCACTGGGGATCTTGGAATGTATATCTCCCATGGATAAGGGGTGACTACTGTATTGATTATTATGTGAAAGACTATCGCAGTGGCATTTTTCAGTATAAAATTATATTTTAAACACTTTCATTATTCCAAAACAAAAAATTCACAGAATGTGTTTAACCTGATCATGTGAGCAATACTTAAATATTTTTAAGCCTGTTCAGTAATGACCATGAATGGTCCAAATTCCTGGATGAGTTAATAGATAATTCTTCTTTGGAACTATTGTTATAAACATATATACTTACTTAGACTTTAACAGAAATTTAGTAATACTTAAATACAAATTCTATAGCCAAAAAGGCAAATTTATTTCATTCACTTTGAAGCTTTAACTGCAAAAGGGTGCAGTACTTTATAATGACAATAATAGGTAAAGGTGGTAAAAATGATTTTAGGGGTCACCTCTATTGATATTAGCTATATATTCTAGTTTTTATCCTTTGGGGCCACTAAAATACATTGGGATTTTGTGAACCAAATGTAACTTCTTTTTCTGAAGTTACTTAATTTCTAGTTAACCATGGTTTTCATGTATAGCATAATTTTATGAGCAGTTAAAAATTGCCAAATTGTGCTTATCACAGAGTAAAGGGAAATTCTCCCTCCTGATAAAGGCCATAGCATCCCAAGTAATTTCAGGGCAAGTGTGTAAAGCAGGAAGAGTGTGTCATGGTACCTTTCCATTCGCTTTGAGAATCTCACTTTGGGTATATTTAGCTCTGCTTCTAGGTGGGCTGGGGTCCCTACTGTAGTATTCCAATTCTCCATGTTGTTACTGGATATTGCTTTTTACTTTTACCAGAATTGACCTGTTGTGGGTTCCATCTCTATCTTAAATGTCTATTCTCAGAATAAGTAATTGGATAAACTCTTTTGTTCCAAGATATTAACAGT